TTTTTGCAGTTAATTTGCACGTTTTCTCCTCCGTGTGGATTTTTTCTAACTTCATTAACGAATCACAGAAAACATTCACTCTGCACTGGTCACACCTCATTAGTTTATTTGGACTTTTCTCGTGTCAGATCTTTGTTCAGCACATTTTATCCAAGATAATGAAGTCTGACAGTAGAAATGCAACCTCGGATAAGGTGTTAATTGCCGTAGACGACACCCTACCGCTGTATGCAAATATATTTCACCTGAAAATGATGATAAAACTCCAATAAGCGTTCAGGTGGTTTGGAGTCTGGCGGTGCACAGAAATAATGTGTAGTCCACGAAACTGTCTTCATCATGACAAAGACAGACAATCATCCACGATGCTCAGGAACAAGACAAAATAAATTGCATGAAGTGTTTGATTCAGACAGGATTAAAAAAAAAAAAAAACATTTATCAGAGGATGTTTGTCTTCATCACAGCAAATTGTTCACCAATCACCGGCACGGCAGGTCTGATTTGACGTTGTCACATTTCCTGATGCACCTGCGTCACTCCCACTGATTGAACCGCAGCGTTCAGCGACGCCGAGCGCTTTAACGCTACATGAATAGTTTAACAGGACATTCTTATGTTTATGATTTGTGTCCAGCTCACCACTGTCTCACTCATTTGCTCCCGTTCTGTTCTGCCTGCTCATTATCACGATGTTTTGAGTTCGATGGTGTCGGTTACATCCCACAGTTTCAACCACTGCTTGTGCGAGTCGGTAAATAAGAAAGCGACTGGCCTGGTTGAATAGTATTTAACAAAACTTGCAGAAATTGTGGGAAGGTAAAAATTCCATCCACGCAGACCACCAGGTCCCATTAGTCTTTAGTAAACGAAGTTCAAGAGAGCTTTGGCTCATTCGGGATGACAGTCGTTATAAAGGAATATTAAACTTTTTATGATGCCAAATATTTTTCTCTTACATTTTTAGAAAGTCAGTCTTGCCATCTGTCTTTCAGACGTGGAACGGTATCATTAATGACAGCCAAGCGGTTTATATGTGAAGCCGACAGGATTTAACACTGATCGGCTTGAAAGCACAGACTGTTCCTCCCTCACTGGGATTGCTGTCAGACGCACAAACTTACTTTTTTCCTTGTTGATCAAATGGTGGAACATTTAGCTTGAACCTTATGCAAGCTCCACGTTAGTAAGCGACCAACATCCAGCCGTGGGGAGAGGCAGGTAGACGCCGCTGCCCGCCATCTACCAGGATTAAAGGGGCCAAACATCTGAGGATGTGGACCCTGGCTGATGACCCCACAGCTGCTTCAGCCACCAGCAGATGTGCAGCTTGTCTTATAAAAAAATTAGATGATGTTTGGTTCAAAATCTCTCTCTATATGCAACGTGAAGCAGGTAGGCTAATTGAGTTACTGAAGAATCTACTTTTAAAATCCTATTTTTAAGTGTTTTTTGTTGCTATGCATCCACACATACACACACTGTTATTCATCTCCCAACAGCCACGGCACACATCAAAGTCAGACCGCCGAACCGTCACAACGCTGGCCTGGGCTCGCCCATCCGCCAAACTCCGGTGCTGCTGTTTCATAAAAATCAAATTGGATTGGGGTGAAAATCCCGCCATTATATTGGGATTCTCGTCATGTGCGGTGACCCTGCTGCTGCTCGCTACCACTCGTCTGGGCCCTGCGAGTCCGCCACTTTTTCATCCACCGCAAATTTACTTTGTCTGATCATTTGTTTTCCAATTACGTCCCTGTCCCTGCTAGCAGAAAATTGTCAGCTTTGGTTATGTGAACCCGCTCTTGGGTCCGTAACCAGGGGCAATGTTTGATGCTTGGAACATTTTCATACCCATTAAAAGATGAAGGCAGGGTGAATTATTATCCCACAGAGTTGATTGGGTTTTGCGGGGGTTGGTTTGGGTTGCTGCGTGTGATGGTATGGCGGTACCGCACACAAAGACACGTTCTTATCTGCTCTGAGGAAAAGGCTTAAGCTGGAGTGGAGCGGATAAAACTGGACCAAAGCAGAAGTTTAAACGAGTGGTTGGATTGTTCGCGAAGCAGGATTTAACTCGTGCGCTCTTGTTTTTTATCCGCCTCCGGTTGCTCGCTCACATCTGTATTCAATATCTGACCAAGATGTAAAGTAAATAACGAGCCCCAGTGTTTGTTCACAGCAACGCGTTCGCAGTAATTGCCAGAAACTTACGCCTTCAGCACTGCAACGCAATTTAGATGAAAGATGCTGAACTGAAAGTAAAGGAGAAGATTACACCCACGTAGCGGGGAACCACAACAGATGAGCGCAACAATGGCAGCAAGAATTGAATGGAACTCGGGGAAAGGCAGAGCAAAAAGGACGGAATAGCGGGGAAAGAAAGCAACGGAATCAATGTTTGGCTATAACTGTCGCATTAGCTGTGATAAACGAGGCCGCCGTCAGAAACTCTGGAAGTCGACGCGGGACATTCCAATGATCAAGCGCTGAATAATCGGACACAATGGATTCTGGGAAGGAGAGGCAATTTGCCGCCATAGATCCCAGAAGAGCAGCATCAATTCACATATTGACCTTTAAAAACGCTATTAATGGATGATATCTTCAGTTCATAGCAGGATGAGAAGTCCTCCAGCAGCGTGCGGTGGAATTATACGGTGGTGCATTTCCTTCCTCTGACAGGCTGCAGTATTTATCCGGGCTTGGGTTTCACATCAGACCGTCAGCGGGTTCAGAATGGAAAGGGCAGTTAAAACAAAAACACACTCGGATTGATGAGACAATCAGCTTTGGTGGAACGCGTTGAGCTGCGACATTAGATCATGTAGCGGCGCATATACGGACGTTGGTGTCATCTTTCTTTGGAGTTTTTTTTTCTGGAGAGTTGAGGCATTTCTGCAGCTCAAAGCGAGGCACGCGAAAACACACACACACCCCCACAATCATGCAAACAAACCAGCGCTCTATAGGTGATCAGGGTTTGGAGGACTCATGTTGGTTCTGACAGGTTAAGAGCAATCTCTGTCAACGAGCTGTGGCTTTGAAAAACACGACTACAGAGACTCGGCATTCTGATGGATAATGAACTCTCTTCTTGGCCTTTATGCACGGCTCAAATGTTTTCATTGCTCTTATTCTTTCAGTGTCCCGGGAGGTCGCAAAACAATTCGGAAATGTGTTACAGATTTTTTTTAAAAAAACAACTAAAAGGGCTGACAGTGTGTGCCGACAGTTCTGAAAGGTGTTCGGCTGCTGCAGCAGCACGGGCGAGTCAGAAGATCAGAATTTATGGGTTTAATGAGGCTGCTGGTGCCAAGAACATTCGTCTGCCGTGTTTCTCCTCATGAGACACAGCGTATAGTTAATAGATAGGACGCTTTGGAGACGGAGAAATGATTATGTGACAAATAGGAAAAGAGCCATAATGCTGCCGTACAGGCTACAGGACATGATCGCCGATTCATCTATAACTGTGGGAAAAACATCCTTTGATTTTTTTTTTTTTTTATTTCTTTCTTGCTGGGAACATTAGAGTTTATGATGAGAGCACCTTTCAATAAGAAAGGCAGTCCAAAGTGTTATACAGATGCACATCAACTGCTTTTAAAGAAGATATAATGAAATAGAACATAATGAAATCGAATAAAATATCATAAAAATAAGCGATAACTTGAGCTCCTGTTCAGAAATATTCTTGTACGAGGCGCATAAAACACTGTGACATACAAGAATGCAGAGCAAAGGTCTCAGAGCTGGAGTGATGAGTGTCGCTTTCCTCTATTTGAATAAGCTGTCTGATAGACCAGCAGACAGAGACCCACAGCGGCACCATTACAGTCGTGAGCCGACTAAATATTCAACCGAGTTCTTCTCTTTTTTATTTTAAGTCCTTATTTATTGATAAAGGGACCGCAGACTAATTAGGCTGGATGTTACAATTTTAATTGTCATCGATAACAACAGTTGGTCTGCAGTCATTAGCTGACGGTTAATTCTTCTTCTGTAACACCGGAAACTGTTATTTTTTTTTGCTTTATCTGCGTTTAATTCGAGGAATTATTGGCACATCCGGTCGTTTATTTGGTGGTACCAGCCACGTGACTGGAGATATTCTGCGTTCAGATAAGTCGTCAATTCTTGAAACGCGCCTTTAAAACGAGTTGTGAAATTAGATGTTGGGGCTGACTGTCAGCAGATTTCATTTCCCGGCGTCTACAGGGAACAACGTGCAGAATTACACAAACACGGCGGTGCGGAGGAGGGGGCAGCTGATTGTGGCTGTTATGCAAATGCAGTTCGTTTTTTTTTGTTTTCTTTCCAGCCCTCTCAGGTACAAGAAGCTGATGATGTTACAGAATTGTTTCCTGCTTAGTCTCAGGAGCTACAACCTTAATACCTGCAGGATAACTTCTGGATGACATTTTGGGGGGAAAAACAACTTTTGTGGGGAAAAAAAACGACATTTCCAGCCTGCAGGCTTCGGATCAACTCCTGAAGTATGTTTTCTCACTCTCAGGATCATCTCTCGCTCTCATCTTTCCTGCCGTCTCCATTCAGGAGAAATAACTTCCTGTTCTTTGAAATGAAAAACGAGCGCTGAAGGCTTTTCAAGTGCAATTAGAACTCATTTGAACTGGGACAAGAAATTGTGTTGCTGTGGGCAGGAATTTACGACATATAGCTTTTGTATTCTCACAATACATATTCGTCATTTCTTCCTTGCAGATACCTTGGAGGGACACATTTCCACATCCAATAATGGAGAGTGCTGACACTGATGTCTGCTGCTCGTGTTCTCGTGGACAATGATGTCTCTGAGTCCTGAGACAGTTGAGGCATAATTAAAAGTGTGCAAAACAATGATAATGGTAATTCTGCGGCTGATAGATGGCAGCCCGTCGAGCATAGAATGAGGGTTTTCCACCCAATTTCGAAGATTACATCTTTCCAGGTGTCCTGGATAAGGGCTGTGATGTACGTCTGGGTCAGCTTACCTTGTACGATGAGGTAGACCTGCGAGGTCTTGGGCTGCTGCTTGGTCTGTATGGAGCAGGTGTACGAGCCCTCGTCATAAACATCCACCTAAACACAATGAAACACAACGCTGTCCGTTAGCGGGAGACTACATTTGTATTCTTAGCACAGTGTTGTTGGCAGACTTTGTTGCTGTTTCTCTCTTTTTTTTTTCCAGATTTAATGCTGCGTTCTCCTTTATATGCAGGATCTTTTTCATTTTATATGTTTAAAATTCAAATGACAAGAAACCACCACAATAAATATTTCCGATTCCTAATCATGAAGTCGGTCTGAGTGACGTCCTTCTGAGAACGAGAGTTAGTGTGTAAACTTGTGCTTTAGTTCCTTCTCCCTCATCACTACTGTCGCCTGGCAGACGAACGACTGCCTCCCAGGAATTACTTTAATGTACTCGAGCTTCAGAACTGCAAATCTGTTTGGAAAGAAATGGGACGCTGCCCTGATTTTCTATTAACATGTTGTGAATAAACTGTAAATTCCAAAATGCAACAACTAAATATGTTTCTCACTAACATCCAGTCCTGCCATGAATACGTCATTTTAATGATCTCTGAACACACTGAAACAAACACGTGTATTTTTAGGCTTGCTTCCTCCTTATTTACTGGTTTTTATTTGTAAAAAAAAAAGCTGCAAGTAGTTACAGTCTGCAGTCCCAGGATCTACTGTTACTGTCTGTTCCTAAGGCCAGAACAGAACAGGGAGAGACTTCATTTAAATTCGCTTTACCTGGAACACTTTACAAAAAGATCTGCAAGAGCTGGTCTCTTTAAACACTTTGAAAGTGTTTATAAATGACTTGGAGGCAGAAACATCAGTCTGTAGATGTTTTGAAAGATAGTCATGTTTTGCTCGTTACATTTCTGATCTCTGCTGATATGTATTTCTTATCTTCTAAATTTAATCTCAACATGTATTATGATGTTTGTGTGGATGCTGTTGTCAGTTGTGCTGCTGCCTGTCCTGGCCAGAACACTTTTGATAAATGAGTTTTAAATCTCAATGAGCCTTCTCTTGGTTAAATACAGGTTCAACAAATTTTAAAAAATATATAAAATGACACTCTCTCAGGCTGCCCTGGTTGCCTCTAACAGTCTGTGGACTCATTTCTGTTTTACAAACGTGAAAAAAAAACACCGGATGTGACACGTCTGCTGGCTCCCGAGTGTCCTGCCTCGATGCATCTCTGCTGCTCCCCTAACCGTAGCAGACACCAGCCAACACTGTCTGGACGACTTTGTGAACTTCAACCAGCAACCAGATCCCAGAACAAAAATCTCCAAAAAGTTTTATCCAGCGAAGCCTGCATGCAAGCTGAGGTCAGGGCACTTGATTCACGGAGGGATAAGACAGGAGGGGCTGTGTCAGCGCTGCTGGAGAGTCGAAGATAGTCAAAAGTTTCACATTTACTTTGCAGTCAAATGATAACGGGAGTGTAACTTTGGTTACCTCGTCTATGAATGCAGCTCGATCACATTCAGTCTTGTGTGTATTTAGGACGTGTCTGTGAAGATTCTCAGTCATCCAGCTCATGGTTGTTCTTGTGGTTTAATCGTAGCAACTGCTTGAGTTCCTTGAAGACGTTCCACCTCTCCTCCAAGAGGCTTCATCAGCTCTGACTGACTAGTTGGGAGTTCCAGATACTTCTATCCTTAAGGAGTCATTAACACCTGAGTTTTAATTGGGGGTTTGTTGCTCCTCCCCCTCGTTATGTGAGTCGTTAATGCTCCCCCTGCCCATTGGGGTTCGTTAGGGTCCTTTGTGACTAGGTGTGGTTTGTGTTTAGGACGACGCCCAGGCTGCTCCCTATGGACTGTGAGCACACGTGTGCGAACAGGATGCAATTTATCAGAAGGATCTTTGGATTTTAAGGCAGAGAACCTTTAAACTGTGTTTATGTTTGAGCTTTAAGAACGAGACAGGATGTGTTTCCTTCATTAACATTCAAACAGCGTTGCCTTTTGTTTCCTAAACCTGAACCACGCTGGGGACGGCTCTGATGTCAGGATCCGGCTCCGGGTACGACCACTGCAAACGGGCCGAGCTGTCATAATGTTTGTGCTGTGCTGTTTTTCCAAATTGCTCCTTCGAGGACACTGAACGTTCACTACATACACCACAAGTCATGTTCTGTCTTTGCCTCGCACTAATAACACTAATAAAAAAGTTTAAACGAACCACATTTGGTTTGTCTCCACTGTGTCTGGAGAACAAAGTTGACCTCCTCTGTTCACTCTTCCTCTGTTTCCATCTTTTTCCAGTGAAGCCGAGGCTGGCAGACAACCTCCCAATATGCCAAACTACTCATTTAAGTATTAATTTATGCCAGCAGACATATTTTTTGTAACAACTGTCTTCTCATCTTGTCTCTTCCCGTGTTCGCGTCGAGGAAAGCTCACACACGAAGCAATAAATCAGAAATTAAGAATGAAGCCAAAAAGCAGAAAAAAAGCCCCTTTGACTGAACCTGCTGCATAAATAAGTGAATAAATGAATGGATGAATATTTAAACAACACTGCTCCCGCTTGGAAAAAGAATAAATTTAAGTCAAAGAGGGTATTTATTAAGGTCATGTTTCATGATTCCTGGATAACATCCCAGAAACAAAAAAACTCTGGTCTCTTCCACCTTTAAATGCAACAGTCATCCCCACTGAGCTCAAGATGAATTAAATTTTTAAGGACTAAAGCAGAGTGCGCTCCAGTTCTCACCCTCCGTGGCCGACATTACCTTTTGTATGCGTAGGCTGTACTCCAGCTGTCCTTTGGTGACCAGATCTACTCTGGGGTCCAGGGACCACTTGTCCTGGCCCGCGAAGATGATGTTGGATCGATTGAGCCAGGCCACCTTGGACACTTTGTCGTCAACGTAACACCTGCAAGCACAACAGAAGTGAGTGAGGAGAAGAGAACAGAAAGCCTTGGTTCCTGGTGAAGGAAAGCAGCGATCGAAGGTTTGAGAAGCGCTTCTGAATTTCATAATATAATAAAAACTTGTTGGCAAAAATAAAAAGTGGAGTTTTGTTGATTTAAAAAAACTGAATTTACGCCATCGTACGCAGGAAGCGAGCTGTAGAAGAGTCAGAGGTGCTTTAAATAATACACATAATCATAAGCGTTGCTGCTTGATGGAGCTGACTAACAGAAAGTGAACCTCCTCAGAGCTTCTTGAAACAAAACCCAGATTTGAGGAGCATCTTTCTCTCTCTTGTTGCCTCCGTTTACCCGAACCTCCCTCCCTCTGTCTGATAAATACATCTCCTTCAACGGTGAGCCTCTTCCTGCGGATGAGAAAGGACACCGGTATCCTCTTGTTTACTTCTTGTTGCGTGCTGTCAGAGCATTACGCCAAGTACGTTCGGGCTAAGGCACCTCGCACGGGGAGGCAAAGGGGAGCCGAGCGTCTTCCTAATGAATAAATGTAAATGTGAGAAGACGTCGGAATCAATGAGAATGGATATCAGCTGTAATGCCAGCCGACAGCGGATGCGCCTCACATGCAAATTCCAGCGACTCCCTGAGCCTTGGCTGTGCACGCGGCTTCAGATTGTGCAGCGCTACAAGAGAGTAGATTAGTGAGGCAGTGGAGTGAGGCTGTCTTTGGCAGGTGACCCCGGGTGATGCACAAAAGTGCTGTTGCCGTCACCCCGGCCTGTTACCCAGCGGGAGCCGGATGTCAGATTTGTTGAAGGTTTGTTCTCGCGGCTTGAATCCCAGCTGATGCTCCTTTCCTTTGTGTGCAACCGAGATAACTCACTGTATTTACTGACTCGCTTTGACATCTATCTTCCACATCCCTCACTCTGAAGTGTTATCCGCTTTTGTTTCAAAAATCTTCAGGGCTCTAATTAAAAGAGACAATTCAAAAGCTTGCTAAACTAATTCAGACACTTTTTTCCCTATAATCACAGAGAGCTATACAACCAGCGCTCTCCCCAAAGCTATCCATTATCCAGAGGAAACATCTGGAGTGTTCAAACGGAGCCTGATCCACATATTCACATCCACATAACAAACAGCGTTCTGTGACTCAGATCGCGTTTTCAGTTCGGAGCTTTAACCTCCTCAAATCATCCATGAATGATGCGGCCCTGTGGCGCCTGATTCATGCAAGTTACATGCTACAGACATCACATCTTTATGGTCTAAAGGGCTGTCAAACATTCAGAACCTATCGAGACTGAACTGGAAACGTGTGGAAATGGGAAAGAAGTGTGCTGTTGCAGCTCTGGTGTATGCAGAACGTTTCATATAGAATACATTCTGTGACACACACACACACACACACTTGACCAGCATGTGATTGCGTCTGTCTTTCTCGACAACTCCCATTTGTTCACGCAATTATATAAAACGTGCCGCACAGAGATGCTGCTATATTTCCTCGCGTGCAGCACTTTCCCTTTCAAACTGTAATTCCATTCGATCAAATGCACATCAGCTCGACTATAAGAACGCTCTAATGTGCAAATTAATGGTGTGGCTGACTGTTCAACAAGCCCTACTTCTGTGAGTGTTAATGCTCCGTGTTTCCTCCGCATTAGTGAAACCTATAGACTCACGCTGACAAACGGAATAGCTTTTAGGTGTTTGCAGTGAAGCAATAAACTGCCTTGGGTGACTGAATGGTTGCATCTTGTTTGCTTTCACGGAGCTCGCCGCCTCTCCTCCCTCATTACCGCTCGTCTCCTATGGTGAAGGAAGGAGGAGGAAATACAAAAGGGGGAGAGCTGAAGACAAAAAAAGGCGGAGACGTGAACAGAATCATGACACGGCAGTTTTCCTCAGCTGTCTCTTTCACAAACACAGTTTACACTAAACTATGCCGTTGCTGAGCCTGAATCACAATATTTAGAGCAGCGTGTTGGCTCGTCGGTGTCCTACAGCAGCATTCACTGCACTTAGTCGTGCTTTTTATAGGCGCT